TATATGGATATTTATTTAAATTTTATGTTTATTTGTTTACTTTTATTATTTATTTTTATAATTTTATTTATATCAAGTATTAATTAATAGATTGTTGCACTATATAAAACATGCTAAACATATATCCTTTTAACATTAAAATTCTTTCTTGGAATATGTATTTTAATATTTAACATATCATGGAATTTTTTTAATTTTATGCATACATATATTATTGATACCTTTTAATACCTATTTATTATTTTATTATTTTTGTGAAATTTAATTTAATAAATATCAATTTATTGTAACTGACACTTTCTAGCAGTTATGAACCGCTACAAAACTTGGAAAGTGTTAACAATTTCTAGCGGTTACTACTCGTTAGAAAAGTCACCTGTTACAGTGAAATTCGAATTTCCCTCCTCTCTCGAAGTTTCCAGCAGTAGTAAACCCCTAGAACACAAATAATCATTGGCAAAAAATTTCTAGCAGTTAGAAACCGCTAGAAAATGGATAACTGTTGGCAAATTCAAATTTTCCTCTCGGCTCGAAACTTCTAGCGGTTATAAACCGCTAGAAAGTCTGTAATCGCTAGAAAATCTTCTGAATTCAAATTTCTAGCTCTTAAAACTGCTAGAAATTTTTAGTGGTTTAGAACCACTACAAAAATTTGACCATTATCTATTTGTTGTCAACGTCCTTTATAAGCTCAAGAATTCCATCAGAAATTCATTTTAACTTCTCTTTGAGCTTCCCATGTCATATGTTCACGAAATTTGAGCAACATTAGTGATGGGTAGGTCGTGGATCAACTTGCATCAGTCGACTCCACAATACTTGGTTGTTCTGAACTATTTCTTGGATTTTGCTTTTGCCAATGCCACCGTAAATGGTAAGATTCAATGTTCATGTCCTAAATATAATTTCAAGAAGCGGCATCCCAGAGATATTATTAGAGAACATTTGATCTTTAAGCCCTTTTGGTGAGAGTATGTATTTTGGCAACTACATGGGAAACAAGCAGATATGGTTGCTGAGTCAGTTCTAGTAGTTTCACGGATGGGAGTTCGAGCGGAAGAAGCCGATGCCGTGAACGATACTGTGCGTGATGCTTTTGGCATTCACAAAAGTGAGGATCCCAACAAAGATGAAGTAGAGGAGCCTCAACCGGAGTTTTTTACAAATGAAACTGCTCGAGAATTTTTTGACCTGATGAGTGAAGCTGATAAGCCTCTTTATTCTAGGTGCACAAAGTATTCTAAGTTATCATTCTTGGTGAGGTTGTATCATATCAAATGCTTGTGTGGTATGTCGTACAAGGCGATGTCCATGCTCTTGGAATTACTGAGAGATGCTTTCCCTCAAGCTAAATTCCTTCCATCTTTTTATGAAGCAAAAAAGATTATCAACAAGCTTGGCTTGAACTACAAGAGGATAGATGCATGCCCAAACGACTGTATGTTGTACTGGGGAGATGATGCAAACAAGGAGATTTGTACGAGATATAAGATGTCTCGTTATAAGTCTGTACAAAAAGGGAAAAAGCAAAAGAAGAAACCAGCAAAAATTCTTAGGTACAATTCATTATAATCTATTACTTGTTCCGTCTTTAAATATTCGATATTTGAAATTCTCAATACAATTGATTATAATGTGTTACTTGTTTAGTCTTTAAATATTCGATATTTGAAATTTTTAATACATTATTTCCTTAGATACTTTCTTTTGAAACCGTGGGTGCAAAGAATGTATATGTCATCAAAAATGGCTCAGCATATGAGGTGGCATGTGACTGAGAAAAATCTAGACGGCAGGTTAAGGCACTCACGAGATTCAGAGGCATGGAAAACATTTGATGTGAAATTTCCAGACTTTGCCAGCGATCCTAGAAATGTATGTCTTGCATTGCCAACCGATGGTTTTAATCCCTTCAGAAATATGAGCACAAGTCACAGTATCTGGCCAATGGTGTTAATTCCATACAATCCACCACCTTAGATGTGCATGAAGCAGAGCTCCTTTTTTTCTTTCCATGATCATTCCTGGCAAGAAAGCACTGGGAAATGATATAGACGTATACCTGCAACCGTTGATACATGAATTGATCGACCTGTGGATGATGGTGTTGAGAATTATGACTCATATGACAAGTGACTATTCAATCTCCGTGCAGTCTTCTTGATATGGACAGTAAGTGATTTTCCTGATTGGAACGTGCATACTGGGTTGGCCTGTCCTAAATGCAATTTTGATGCCGTGCCATGTCACCTTCCACATAGTTACAAGTGGTGCTTCATAGGACATTGACAGTTTCTTGATTCCAAGTACAAATTTAGATTGCAATGGATTCACTTTGATTGGAACAGGAGAAGAGAGATCCTCCTGTTACTTTGTTTGGTGTGGATATTTTACGGTAGTTAGAAGATGTTCACGTCGAGTTTAGCAAGAATGTGGATCTCGAATGACTGGCATGACGATCTCGTGGGACATCTGATGTGCAACCTATGCAATGGCCGAAGAGAAGCATATTTTTCATTCCTCCTTATTGGGAATCTAATTTGCTACGACACAATTTGGATGTTATACACATTAAAAAAATGTGTGTGATAATGTGCCATATATGTTGCTCAACGAAACTGGAAAGTCCAAAAACCATCTCGCAGCTAGAAAATATTTACGGGCCTGGGGAATTTGTGAAGAGGCTTGGCCTGAAAAACCGACAAGTTTCAACCAGCTAAATTCACCTTGATAAAGCAGAACAAGGATATCTTCCTTTCGATGCTGAAGAATATAGAAGTACTTGATGGATATTCTAGCAACATCTCAAGGTGTATCGATCTGCATGCTTGAAAGGTTACTGGGTTAAAAAGTCATGACTCCCATGTTCTTGTGCAAGAGTTACTTCCATTGGCCTTGAAAAACACACTTCCTTCTGATGTATCAGTGGTTTTGGCGGAATTGTGTTCAAGAGTCATTTTCTTGTGGAGCTAGAGGAGCTTGACGAAATTGGCATTAACACGGACACTGAAGAAGATGGTGCCGTCCCCAGCGAAGAAGATGACGACAGCGTTAAGGTGTTTTGGCTTCTTCTTCTTTTTTTCTTTTTTTTTCCCCTCCATATAGAAGTCGCATATCCAGGTCAGCAAATGAGCGTGCCCAGTCAGCAGTCAACATCAGCAATCTAAACTGTGTTAGTGAACTTAACACCATTAATACCAGCTCCAAGTCCTTTTCAAACTACAAGGACCAACGGTTATAGACAAAATAAATTTGAGGGACCAAAAATATTGACTTCAAATTTCAGGGACTAAACCAAAACAAAGTTAAAGTGTGAGGACCAAAAATGATATTAACCCTTATATAAAAATTAAAAATACAAATATTATAAAAGAAAATAAAAAAATATAATATATTTATTATTTTGTTAAATATTTGAATTCAAAATATAAATTATTAGAAATTTTTTAATAAAATATAAAAATTCAATTCAAATAAATAATAATATATTAAATTATATAATATATATTAAATTATGTATATAATATTTATTATATATATTTGTATTTTTTATTAGAAATATTATATATATCTATTTTTGTAAAAGACTTTCACAGGTGTTTCTCAGCTCAACTGGCAAAGGCTTCAGCATGCGCGCAAGAGGTCACAGGTTCCAACCAACACTTCTTCACAAATTGGCTCAATTTGTGACATGGCAATAACATGGATAAGGCAATGACGTGGCTGCATAGGAGAGAGGAGGAGTTGAGGTGGCATCCAGTGATGGACACGTGGCGATGACGTGAACGAAGAGATGACGTGGCAACATGCCATTGATGGCAGCCCTTGATGATGTGGTGGCTCATAGTGATGGACACGTGGTGATAATGTGGTATTTTAAATTTACAAAATAAAAAAATTTAGCGATGGATTAGTGATGGAAATTTCCGTCACCAATTTGTGACGAAATGTTGCATCACAAATCCATCATTATTTTGTGACGGAATTTTTGTGGGATATCCGTTATTAATTAGTGACGGATTAGTGACGGAAATTTTCCGTCACTAATCCGTTGCTAATTATCGATGGAATTTTAAATTCCATCACTAATTATTTAGCAACAGTGGAATTAGTGACGGAAAAAATTCCGTCGCTAATTCCGTCACTAACTGAATTCCGTCACTAATCCGTCACTAATTTTGATTAGTGATGGAAATTCCGTCACTAAATTTCATCGCTAATTTGATGTTTTTTTGTAGTGTTTATGGCGTTTTGACCATACTGTGTAGCGGTTCTCATAACCACTAGAAATCTATTTCTTGTACTTGATTTTCTAGCGGTTTGTCTAATCGTTACAAATGTTATTTGTTGTTGTTAAAATCGCTAGAAATTTCATTTTAACCGTTACAAAATACATGTTTTTTTTTGTAGTGTCACATACACCTAGTCATGATTAATTAAATTTGTCTATATTTTAACCTCTATTAACTTTTTGCTAAAAGATATTTATTTATAAATTTAATTGAATTCTAGGCATAAAAATTTAGTATTTTACAAAATATACGTATTTTAGAATTTAAATAATAATACTAATATTTAAGGTCGGGTAAAAATGAAGCTAATTAATGACGAGAAAAATTAATAGCGCATGCTTTATAATTAGGCCCAAACAAGTGGTAGGTTTTAATTTGCAGCTTCCACCGAGGTGTCTTTCTTCCACAACTGTTTGTTTTCATTTGAAGAGTTGATAATGATTTTTGGGCTCCCCCCCCCCCCCCCCCCACTCGAAACGGCAGTTGCCATTGTTGAATGAGTAGGCTTTTTTTTTTTTGCCCCCCCGTTAACATATCTTTTTCGTCCAGTGAGTAGACTTTTGCGGTTGAAAATCAACACGTTATTACCCAATTGGAGAATACCCATTCATGTGACTGTAGCCAATGATACTATGATGCCATGGAGACTCGAAAGAAGCTATATCTTCAAAACTTACGTTTGTCTCTGGATTACAAGAATGCCTTCTTCGCAGTAACTGCTGTGGGCAGCTTGAACGAGAACGTTCTCTTCAGTATGACTAACTCACCAACAAAGGCCATGCTTTTCCTCTTACTCTTCAGAATCCTCCTTTTCACTATCTGCGTCATTTCCTACACTCCTGATGATAATTTTGCAGTCAATTGCGGTAGCTCCGGCAATTCTTCTTTAGTTGGCCGGAGCTGGACTGGAGATATAGACTCAGAACAATTCTCTCCGATCAAATTCCTCGATAGCAATGACTCATCGGTAAGTGCCAAGGCACCTTTCAAAACAACCCCTTACAATACCGCGCGTGTCTCTCGCTCTAAATTCTCCTACTTGTTTCCATTGAAGACCCACGGCCAAAAGTTTATTCGCCTTTACTTTTACCCATTTTCTTACGACCCCAACTTCCTTCGCTCGGACTCGTTCTTCTCCGTCAGAGTTGGATCTCACACTCTTTTGAAAGACTTCCATCCTTCAGTCACCGCCGATGAGGCTGGCAAAGAAACCATTGTACGAGAGTACTGCGTCAACATTCATGACCCCAGCGAGGGGCTTATGATAACCTTCACGCCCAACGGATCTCATCCGAACGCCTATGCTTTTGTCAATGGCATCGAGGTTGTCTCTATGCCCGCCTTTCTTTATTACACAGACCAAGAAAACCAGCTGGCAGGGATGATGCTAGATGGTGGAACCCAGCAGTATCCAGTTCAGAATAGCAATGCTCTCGAGACTATGTACAGAGCTAATGTTGGCGGAAGTCAGATTCCTTCCGATAAAGACACAGGCATGTATCGTTATTGGCACCAGGATATTGACCACTTGGAGAGGGAGCGATTGCATAGTATTTCAGTAGTTTTTGGTTTGCATCCAGTATATAGAGATGATCAAAATTATTTTGCACCTGATGAAGTATACATGACTGCCAGAAATTATGGGATGAAAGAAACGTCCAAATTTAATGTGACTTGGGAATTTGAAGTTGACTCAGAGTTTTTTTATATGGTGAGATTGCATTTTTGCGAGTTTGATGAACACATTGAAAAAGCTGGAGACAGAGTTTTCCAAATCTTCATAAATGACGCTTTGGTGGAGTCTGTCGCCGATGTGATGTTGTGGACTCAGAATCAGAGGAATGTTCCTGTGCATAGAGACTACGCGGCGTCGATGCAGGGCAAGGGAAGCTTGAAGAAGCTGAATCTTTCAATTAAGTTGCAACCAACCCCAACTGCAAGAAGCACTTACAGAGATGTTTTATTGAATGGTATTGAAATTTTGAAAATAAGTGACAGCAATGATAATCTGGCAGGTCCTAATCCTGATCCACCTCCATCTCCCCCACTAATATCCTCCAAGTCATCGAAAAACAGAAACAATGCTAAGGTAATTTCCATTATCGTTGGGGCAACATCAGGCTTCATCGTGCTGTCTCTTATTGTTCTGCTCATTTTCCGGCAATTCATTAGAGCTCCGGTCAAGGAAGGATCTTCATGGTGGGGACAAAAATCAGTAGACTTGTCCAAGAAAAACAAACCCTGTGGGTCATCATCATTACCGTCCGATTTGTGTCGCTACTTTTCTATAGATGAAATAAGAGCAGCCACAAGTAACTTCAATGATATTTTCATTGTGGGGGTTGGAGGGTTTGGTAATGTCTATAAAGGCTATATTGATGAAGGAACAGTCCCTGTGGCCATCAAACGGCTCAAACCAGGTTCCCAACAAGGCCTCCGTGAGTTCCAAACTGAGATCGAAATGCTCTCTCAGCTTCGTCACAATCATTTAGTTCCTCTCATTGGTTACTGCAACGATGGCAACGAGATGATCCTCGTTTATGAGTTCATGGCTCGTGGGACCCTCCGGGACCATATTTATGATTCTGATAGCCCTCCACTTTCCTGGAAACAAAGGTTGGCGATGTGCCTTGGTGCGGCGCGTGGACTCCATTATCTTCATACTGGTGTGAACCGCAATATAATCCACCGTGATGTGAAATCCACAAATATCTTAATAGATGAGAAATGGGTGGCCAAGGTTTCGGATTTTGGACTATCCAAGATAGGACCCACGGGGTTGTCCAGGTCTCACATAAGCACGGTGGTAAAAGGAAGTATGGGTTACTTGGACCCGGAATACTATAAACGTCAAAGGTTGACTGAAAAGTCTGACGTTTACTCTTTTGGAGTTGTATTGCTGGAAGTATTGTGTGGGAGACCTCCTTTGATACGTAACGTGGAGAAGCAGAAACTAAGTTTAGTGGAGTGGGTTCGAAAATGTCATCACGAGGGTGTGATTCATCAAACGGTTGACCCTTTCCTGGTAGAAAGTATCGCACCAGTGTGCTTAAAAGCGTTTAGCGACATGGCACTGAAGTGTTTGGTGGAAGATGGAAATGAACGCCCTTCAATGAACGACGTCGTGTGGGGCTTAGAGTTTGCGTTGCAGCTTCAAGAAGGCACAGAGAAGGTGGGGCTTCTGGTTGATGAGGGCGACATTGAAGGAAAGAGCGAGGAAAGGGCTCTAATAAGGAAAACGACAAATGTGGAAGAAAGAGAAAGCAAAGTGAGTTTCACGAGCAGTGATGAATCAAAAGGACGCAGGTTGACTAGTTCTAGCAGTGAAGATCAATCTTTAGTTTCTGGATTGATCTTCTCTGAGTTGGGACATCCATCGGTTCGATGAAGAAGTAATCCAGTGATATTTGCTAGGTGATGAATTTTAATTTCGTCCTTTTCCAAATAGTAATGACGTCGTTATATTGCTGTATGTCTGTTACAGCAACTCAACTTTTATTTTCTATCTGTATAAATACAAAATATGCAAGCAGAAAATTAAATAATTACTTCTAAAAGTACGCATGATTACCAGATGAGATCACACTTCTTAGATGCAATGCAAGTCTTCAGAGTATGATTTTTATATATCTCTCCCAATTTAATAATATATGACTACAAAATTAAGGGTTCGATTATCTGCGAAATCTTTTCAGACTATTCGTTACCAGCGGCTGTCTGGAAAAAAAAAATCCATAATCCATAGTTCTCACTCGTCGGAATTTAACGTTATTTTACTTTATATATTTTTTATTTTAATAAATAGAAAATTTATTATTTAAAAATTATATTTTAGGTTTAGATTTTTTTAGGGAAAATCGCAAATAAAGACCGTGGAATATACAAAATCGCAATTTGGGTCCTTGAATTTATATAATACTTGTCAGAGACCCGGTCCCAAATAAGAATTATGAAATGTTGATTAAAAGTCAAAAATACCCTTCTGCTTCTCCTTGTCTTTTTTTCATCTTATCCTCTCCTTCTCTTTCCTTTTCTTCCCCTCTATCCTTCTCTCCGTGCTTCTTTTTCCTCCTCCTCATCTCATTCCCCTTCCTTCTCCTTCTTCTCCAGTCCCACTTCCTTGTCCTTAACCCCATATCCCCCAACTTCTCTCATTCTCTCTTTTCCCTCTATCATCTTCTTTGTTCCTTCTCCCAAAGCAAGTGAATAACAGGACTTAAAAGAAGGATGCCAAGAGAAACAATAATTAAGCTCAACAAGACTCCCGCTGGATATTGTTGAAGCCTAGCTTCGACAGGGAATTGGGTTCCAGTTTGTCATCGAGTTCTGCGTTGAAGTCGAAGATGGTTGCAGCGACGATGGCAAGTGTGCGATGATTGCTTGGTGCTCAGACAACGCCCAACAAATCTGGATTTTTATTCTTTATTTCTATTTTAATTTTCAGCTTCTGTTCATAATTGAAAATAACAAGTTTGATAAGTTGTTGAAAATAACAAGTTGACAAGTTCTGATACCCAATTCACGACAAGTTCAGTAATACGAATAACAAGTTTAGGAAGGCAAATAACAACTTCTGATAAGCAATTCATAGAAATTCGAGTTTTTGTGTTAAAATGACAGCATTTTCAGAGTTCTTTAGCAAATAACAAGTTCTGATACACAATTCATGACAAGTTCAGTAAGGCGAATGACAACTTCTGATAAGCAATTCATAGAAATTTGAGTTTCTCTGTTAAAATGACAGGTTCCCATTAGGTTTTCATACTTTTTCTGTTAAAATGACTGAATTTCCACATTGATTTATGAAAATGACAGGTTCAGAATAGAAAATGACAAGTTTTCACAAGATTTTCATACTTTTTTTTTCCTAGAAATACAGTTTGTACATTTCTGACAGCAACCACTTCTGATAAACACAAAATGACAAGTTCACAATGAAAAATGACAAGTTAAGTATGGCAAATGACAAGTTCTCATAACGTTTTCATACATTTTCATACTTTTTCTGCTGGAATTACAATTTGCACATTTCTGACAGTACCAACTTCTGATAATTGCAAAAAAGCTCTAAATTGTTGAAATCAAGTATGATGATTGTATTTCGATGGATAAATCGATCAAGGTGTGGGATGTGAGAAACAAACGAGCCTTAAATACAGTGCTAAATGAATAAAGTTCTCACCTTATATGTAGAATTTGATGGTTTCTTGTTCATATGATATGACAATTTACATTTGGGATTTCATGGTTGAGGATGCACTTGTGAGTGGATATGATTATCATAGTGCATTTGCCGCTGGTGTTGATATGAGCATGCTTCTTGAGGGGCTTATGAGAGTTCTGGTGCTATAGTTTTATACATTAGGAGGAAATGAGAGGTGAAATTGATGATAAAAGATGTTAATCAGAAGTGGTTACTGTCAGAAATCTACACATTGTCATTTTACATACTTAACTTATCATTCGCTATTATGGGCTTGTAATTTACTGTTTATCAGAAGTGTTTGTTGTCAGAAATCTGTACATTGTTATTTTAACAGAAAAATTTACAATTGTATGGAAACGTTATGGAACTTGTCATTTTACATACTTAACTTGTCATTCGCTATTGTAGACTTGTCATTTACTGTTTATCAAAAGTGGTTGCTATCAACAATGTGCAAATTATGATCCTAGCAGAAAAAGTATGAAAATGTATGAAAACATTATGAAAACTTGTCATTTTCCATTATGAACTTGTTATTTCGTGTTTATCAAAAGTGGGTGCTGTTAGAAATGTGCAAATTATAATTCCAACAGAAAAAGTATGAAAATGTATGAAAACATTATGGGAACTTGTTATTTGCCATACTTAACTTGTTATTTTTCATTATAAACTTGTCATTTCATATTTATCAGAAGTTGTTACTGTCAGAAATATGTAAAGTGCAATTCCAGCCAAAAACAGTATGAAAATGTATGAAAATCTTATGGAAACTTGTCATTTTCTATTGTGAACCTGTCATTTGATAAATCAATGTGAAAATCCAATCATTTTAACAGAAAAAGTATGAAAACCTAATGAGAACCTGTTATTTTAACACAGAAACTCAAATTTCCATGAATTGCTTATCAGAAGTTGTCATTCGCCTTACTAAACTTGTCATTCGCCTTACTGAACTTGTCATGAATTGTGTATCAGAACTTGTCATCTGCTAAAGAAATCTGAAAATGCTGTCATCTTAACACAGAAACTCGAATTTCTATGAATTGCTTATTAGAAGTTGTTATTTGCTTTCCTAAACTTGTTATTTGCATTACTGAACTTGTCGTGAAGTGAGTATCAAAACTTGTCAATTTGTTATTTTCAACAACTTATCAAACTTGGTTCAGACATCACCATATTACTGTCAAAACAAACAAGAAATTGCATTGACTTTTTATAAGATTCAAAGTCTAAAATGCTTTCTAAGAATTCTAGCATAGCATCTATCAACGTAAAACAATAAAGAAGCACCTCAAAGAGAGTCTTTAGCTCAGAATCTTCAACAAGCAAAAATTGTTCTAGAAGAATGTTCAACAAAAGAAAGTTTCCCTTTAAAATGTCCGAAGCAACTAGGATCTTTATCTGGACCATTGGCCCCTTTTCCTATAGTTAGATGTTCATCGCCTTCCAGCTCCATACCTCCACCACTGCCAAACAGATCAAAATCTTCCAGGTTATCACCAGTTTTGGTAAATTATTGAAACTCGAGTCATCAAAAACACCAGAAGATGGACCATCTTCATCAGGAAGGAGATTTCTAATGGTGTTAGCCTCAATTTCTTCAAGAGATTTGTATGGTTCATCATCAAGAAGAAGGAGACGAGTTGGAGAGTGAAGAAAGAGGGAGACGACTTGGAAAGTGAAGAAAGATAACTTTAGGACATGTAGACAAGGGACTGCAAAAAAGCAGAAGGGCATTTTTGTCTTTTACCTAACATTTCATAATTCCTATTTGGGACCGGGTCTCTGACAGCAATTATATAAATTCAAGAACCCAAATCGCAATTTTATATATTCCATGGTCTTTATTTGCAATTTCTCCTTTTTTTTTATAAGAAAAGTCAGAGAGTGAGTATTTACAGATTGCTCACTAGTAAGGTTCTTTGCAACACCTAACTTTTATATATATTAATAGGATCATTTTAACGTTTGTGAATCACAAACGCCAGGTTTCCGACCTGGGAAAAGACAGGGAAGTTTTTTTTTTTTCAACAGTAGCATTCGTCGATAAAAAATTTCAAACCTTTAGAATAATTGAAGAGTGATCTACAATCAACCCTGCTTTAACTTAATCTATTATCACCAAGAATGATTTCATATTATGTAATCTCATAATATTATATTAAAAAATATGACAACCATCTTGGTTGACAGCATATACTTGCACCTGGCAGTGCTCACCTCCTTATAGAGGATACAAAATAATATTTCCACAAAGCAAGTAAAGTTACTTGCCTATATAACATATATAATAAAATAAATATTAACTTATTAAGATATTTTACTACATATTTACAAAATATAACATCCATCTCTGCTCTTCAACTAGCTCACATTCTTCTTAAACAACCTCCTTATCCTTCGAGCTACTAGCCTTTGTTGTTCATCATAAATGGGAGGGTGAGATTCTAAAGAATCCCCATAGCAATAATTTCTATCAAACAAATGTGCAGATTACATAAAGCATGCAAAACAAGCCAAAGTAGAACATAACCTTGCAAGCTAATGCAATTAAGCATTTATGCGCAATGACAAATAGACAAGTTGAATAAATAATGCGCAAATAATTGGCAAATACTGCCCCATGTCTATCAGCTACACGTGATCACAGCTAAATAATCCATGCAAGGAATTAAGGATTACATGTTCTCATGCTTTAAATAGTAATATGGCACAAACAGACATGCAGTAATCATACACAAGTGTAAGGTAGGAAAGAACTACTACCTGGTCAGCTTCCCTCCAAACCAAACCTTACCGTTCTCCTTTGTTTCTGCTTTCTTAATGGGCTTGAGCAGATATCAAAACCTATCATATTCGTAAGGGTAGATTAATACTTGATCCAACTATAATTCATAAATTAAATAACTCTCTTCAAATTCCAAATCTTCTTGAATCTCTACCCTCACTAGTTGGTCGTCCTAGACAATTTTCTATATTTATGATATAACTCCCAAAAGGTTTTCCTTTCTTTTATAACTCCAAACAATTACCTTACTTAGTAACTGGTCATCTTTGTCAAAAATATTACCTTTATCTATTATATTTGGGGAGATGAATGATGAGCTCCCCAAACTTAATCATTCTAATGTTCTTTAAGCTTGATTTAACCATCACATTAATGTTCCCAGACTCCAACTTTAACAAAGAATCACATCTTATTTATCAACACAATCCTATACCATGAACATTGCCTTAAACCTTTGTCTTAACATTTGAAAACATGAATCAGCAATTATAGTCCATTTTCCAGGTCCTAATCACTCCTTAATCATCATATTAGATTCTAATACCGTGCATTTTTTTACTGGAAAATAACCTCAGAACAACAAACTCCTAGCCAACTTTCAGCTTCCAAAGTTCCGAATGCATAGGCCTTTGA